TTATTTTCTTATAAAATTGCTGAAAAATTAGGAATTTGAGGATGAACCTAGGCAAAAAATGTATCCAGATTTGAATGAAATTAATACTTTTTAGGTAATTTTTATAGAAATTTTATTAGTAGATATGTGTTTGTTTATACATGTTTTTTTGGGTGTTTTGTCTACTAATGTTTTACATATTTATAAAAACAATCTTATTGGAATAGAGATTAAAATCTTTGTACTAGATCATAAACAAAGACAATATATTTGTCTGAAATTTAAACTATAATGTTAATATTTTTTACTAGCTCTGAAAATGCTTTACCATAATTAACGAACTTTACGCTTAAATGAAATTCTGAAATTGACTTCCGAGTTTTGTCATTGTGAAATATATACATACAAGTTACAGTTCTTCCTTATTTGCTATTGCTTAAATATAACAGTTACAATAGCTGGGCAATAACACTTTAATTGCAAGAAATAGATGAACTAAGGTTTGCCAATTAGGCTTACTGTTTATAAATGAACTTAAATAGTTATTCAAATCTGCAAAGTATATTTCTCTTAATTATGCATATTTTGACAACGTTAAATGATAAATACAGGCAAAGCTGTCTTACCATTTTTATCCAGAACAAAAATAATCATATTGTAATTTTTTTAAAATGTGAAATAAAATTTTTTAAGAAACATTTGTTTTTGTTTGTAAAATTGCTGAAGGTTTTTATTTTATTAACTAGAATGTATGTCATGCAGATGTGTATCTGATTTTTGACGTTCTGTGTTGCACTATCCAGAAAATAAGTTTTTAAAAAGGAGCAAATATGAAAAACGAGGTCCCAATGACAAACATTTTGCATGTGGCATAAGAATATATTTTTATGGTGTTAAATTCTGGCACAAAATGCAAATTAATTAAGAGATACTAAAAAATTTTACTTTAAATATTTTTATTGTATTTTACTATACTGACTAAACGTTACAAATGCTTGTGGTTAAGTTAAAATCATTCAATATATTCTTGATCCTTTTGTATGCCCAATATTATAAAATAAAATATATTTTTTATATATTAAAATCACAGAAAATCCTTTAAATTTGTAACTATGTGTTACAAAAAATGGGTATTTATTATATTCTAATTCAAACAATTATTTTTAATTGTGAGGATTATGGAAAACTTATCAAGGACAAAAACAATATTGTTTTTTTGCGTACCAGCAAATCTTAAACCTTTTTTATTTGATAAGCAATCACTTTAGTTTTTTTTTTTGCATTTTTTTGAATTCTTTTCTAAGATTGGAAACTAACTTGAAGTAAAAAGAAAAAAATCTATATTGGAATTTATTCTAAATACATTATATCAGCTATAGACTTTTTTTTAAATACAGTTTTTTAAATGAATTTATATAAAAAACTATTTATACTGTACCATATCATAAGAGTGGAATCAGGGCGCCCGCCCGTGGCGCCGTGGACAAGGGACACCAATTTGAACATTAAAATAGGTACAAATTCTAAATTCAAATAAGCCTTTTAAGAAATTTTAGTGCATCAGAATAAAATGATATACCTACCTATCTACATAATCATTATCCTTATCATATTGTGGTCAGGTTAAAAAACCAATATTTTCTATAATAAAGTAATACCAAGGGCGGATCCAGGAGCTCCTTAAAGGGGAGCACTTGACACACATATTGAAAAATAACTAATAAACAATACCAGAAATGGTGTGCAACAATTTTTGGTGTAACAGAAATAATATAGGCATATTGAGAATATTTTTTTTATGGTACCTATTTTTAAAATTAAATATAAATACATTAAATATCGGCAATGTTTACAGGTACATATATAGAAGTTACGAGAGTTACATTTTCAAAAAGTAATGTCATTATCATCGTCAACAGATTTTTTTTGAAGGCCCAAGGGGGACAATTGCCCATTGCACCCCTCCCTTGGATCCGCTTAAATAATAATTTAAAATTTGCTTGCACTTTTTTTATCTAGTTCATAATATTCAATCTATAGGGATTTGGGAAGGGGGAAGCGCCATGAATCTAAAATAACCTGAATCACCTGATTCTGGAAAAAATGTTTCTCAAATATTTTACAAATCATTTAAAAAATAACCTTGAAGAAATTTTCTCGCAAATTTTAATCGCAATTTTTTTCTGCAAAACTTCATTTAGTTACGCCCTTAAAATATCGCTTGGGTCCCATGCTCCAATTTTAAGATATTATGACATCCTAAATTTCACTGGTCTAATATATTTTATATTTATTTATTTATATAAGTAATAAATGTTACATTTATTTAAAAAACAGTTATAAAATGTAATAAAATTTTTATTTAGAAAACCCTCAAGTAGTTTTTGAATAATTGAATATGATTAAAAAGTAATTTGTATTATAAAAATTTGAGTTCTCATTGGTTCAAAATAGTTATGTTACGATTTTATGTTACGGTTGTAAATTTCATGTTTTTTTTTTCAAATAAAACAAAACATATTTTTAAACAGTATAGTTTCAACTAGAATTAAATGGTGCTACTATTTCTACTACTATTACTTGATATTACATGGTGCTAAGTAAACAGAGTATTTAAAAAACATGTGCCATCGCTTAAGCAGATTCTCTCAGCAACCCCCCCCCCAACATCGCGCTGTCGATAGGAATGGAGATGAAAACTATGATGAGAAGTGTATTGACGTACGCAACATTCACCTTCCAAGTTTCATAACATTATATCAAGTAATTCCGGAGAAATATGGGAAAAACTGAAAATAAATTAAAACTAAGCATTTTTAGTAATAAGTTTATATGACAAATTCATATTATTTTGGTACGTTCTATCGATTCTTTAAGTTTCCGTATTAAAATCTGGCCTACCCTGTATATTATATACGAGTTGATATGAACGTGGACTGAATGATCACCGGTATTATTTCACAAACTTACAGATTCACATCTGAACACGACATAATTATATTAATTAAAAAAAATGACAAAAGAAAATAAGTACCTATATACAGATTTTTTTTTTAATTAAAACAATAATTTTAACTTTTAAACGACTCATTTTCTCAAAAAATAAAAAACCCATTGTTTAAAACTTTTTTAATTCATTTGTTTCAAACACATCGCACCGTGTTTTAAACTTGCCAATCCTGTTTTATATTTGTAGGTTGTATTATGTTGCTTTGGTTTTTAGCATATGTACAATCGTCATTAGCTACAAATAGTGGTAGAAATGGAGTGTATATCAAAAGAGGGTGACTTTAAGTAATGATGGTTGTACATATTCAAAGCGGAAGCAAGCGAGTGTGTCCATGGCGTAGCATAGTGAAACCGAACGTTATAGATTTGTGTGAGTACCAGTGGCGGCTGGTGAAATTTCATATCGTAGTATTGGAGCATGGGACCCAAGCGATACTTTTAAGGTATAACTATCAAGACTAAAAGAAGAAGTTCTGCAGAAAAAAATTGCGATTAAAATTTGCGAAATTGTGAGCCTCCAAGGTTATTTTTTAAACTATTTGTAAAATATTTGCAAAACATTTTTTTCCAGAATCAGGTGGAACATATAATGGCAGTAGCCACTGGTGCATATGAATGCATTTTACAAAGTGGATTTCTTAGTTGTTTTTCTGGCAAGTTGACAAACAGTCACAATATGGATGCAACAATATTACTGTTATTATTAGAAAATTCCTTAATAAAAAAAAAACTATATTTTTGCAAGATTTTTAACACGTCAATATCAATATATCAAGAAAGCAACTTGGTGAATTTGGTCACTTGTATTAAAGTTTGTTTATGGTTAACGAACTTGTTTGATCTCATATCCATGGATCCGGGAGTTCGCAAAAATATTTCGTTGATTAATTTTTCACTGTTCAGCATTTTGCTTAAAGACAAACTGATTTGTCTTCGAGCGGAACGCTCGCGACGACTCGCTCATTCACGCTTCCGGTATGCACACCTACTTTATGTCTCTGATGCACACATGCATCAAGATGTTTTAACTTGTATTTCCCGCCTCGTTCGGTTCCGCTTTGTATGTGCACGTACAGATATTTATGTTTATGTTTAAATAAGCGGTTATTCGCCGAAAATAGAATACCTCAAACATTGATGAGACGATGCCATGATGATGATTATAATTTTATAGGCACTATGAAAGATGAATTAGTAGTTTCCTGTTAAGTAATAGCTGGATATTTTCACCTTATATTTTAACACCATTCAGTTAATTCTTGTTTTTGATTTGTTTAAACAGTTTATCTAAATCAATCAGAAATGGGAATGAGATGAGCTAAAATATAAAGTGAAAAGTAAAAGGCAAACATTTCGTCAGCTATATATAGAAAAAGGATTAGTGTGGAGCATGAAATATTCAGTAAAAAACTGTTTGTGAAAGGGTTAAATGACCTACTTTTTCACAATTCCTGGTGTTCATGCATGTAGGGATATACAAATATAAAATAAAACACAGGCTCAATTAATAGTATAATACAATAAACTTTTAACACTAGTCAACATTTTTCCTACTGTACAATAAGCAAAATTCTAATCTCACTTATTTACTAAAGCATACCAAGCTTTTAAATAAGTGACTACGTGACCATCGCGGGGGCTATATAATTTAATTTTCTGTATTTCACTGCTAGTTACGCGGTGGATATTTTATTACTTTGAGTCTTCCTTCTTATGAATTAAATGAAATAATTCAACTGAAACTAGAAATTAGTGTAGACAAAATACCAACATTTTTTAGCAAAGGATAGTCAATTTTTCTTTTCAAAGTACACACTATGTTTTGTTGAGGATTTTTAATGAATTTAATGATTAATTAATTAATAATTAAACACACCACAGGTAATACAACACTTTTTATCCCTGAAGGCACCCCAAGGTACCTTATACGGGAGAGGACTAGACATTTAGAGACAAAGAACATACACCCAATGTCCGAGTATGCTATTAATTTCTGGTTTAGCAAAAATTCAAGCTCTTCGACCAGGGATCGATCCCAGGACTCAAGGGTGAGAGGCAAGTGTCCTAACCACTTGACCACGAAGACACAAGATTCACACTAATGAATAAATTTAATGATAAATTCACTTAAAATCTTTTACAAAAATTAAGTTAATAAACAGTTAACAGTCTCAAAAAATGTTGACGCCGATTTCTAGTCTGTTGAATTATTTTGTTTTATTCACTGGAATCAAATGAAAACTAACGATGCTACGGGAACATCTTTTGTAATAAAACATCTGCAAATTGCTATATCTCTTCGTGCTGTGACCACAACCCCTAACATTTTAAATGGCGTGATACCTCATTTCAATCAAAATCAGTCAAAAAATGCTTTATTGTCAGAAAAATACAAATGTCTTTGTTGACAAACCTTAATCCTAATGTAAAATATTGGTAAAGATAAAACAGTACTCTAAAGTACAGCACATATGAAATAATAATATAAAGGACTAAACTAAAATATTGTACAGCACACACCCTGCATAGACATTTTAAATCTAGTTTAATTATAAAACAGTTTAGTCAATTTCAGAATCTTGAAAATAATCACTCAATGAATAATATGCCTTTTTAATCAATAATGTCTTTACTTCATTTCTAATTTTTTTCATTTACAATTTGCCTCAGGTTTACAGGAAGATGATAGAATATATTTTTACTATCATAAAGAATTGAGTTTTTTGTCTGAGTAGATGAAGCAATAGGAAAGTGTGATGTTAAATCTATTACGTGTATAATGTACGGTGTTTATATCACGTTTAAACTTTTTTATGCATAAGACATACAGTCTCTGATATAAATATACTAGCCAGTCAATATTTCAAACTTCAAAAAATAATGGTCTACACGAGTCTCTTATTTTTGCCTTACACATATATTTTAAAGCTCTTTTTTTGCAGAACAAAAAATTTTATTGAATAAATATTATGAACATAAACCCCAAAAACAAATGCCATAACATAAGTGAGACTCTATGAGTGAAAAATAAGCACTTCTTGTGATAGCCATATCTAATTCATTCGACATCACTCTAATTGCATAACAATTTGACTTATTGCTTAACATTGGTATATGGTTCTCAAATTTTAATTTATTATCAATCCACAAACCTAAAAATCTACTATCCGTTTGGGTTTTAACAACTTGATCCTCCAGGAATACCTCATTTAGGTTGCATATAAAAGTTATAATATTAGTTTTAGGCATGTTAAAGGACAATAAATTAGCATCATATCACTTTTTGATTATTAATAAATCAATATTAATAGTCTCTCTCTTGAAAGGTCTTCCTACCTTGAATACCACACAATAAAAATTTTCAAATTCAATCGATTTATTTTCAAAATATTCATAATTCAAATTGCAAAAATGCTCTTTAATTCAGTTTCAAGTTTCAGATACATTTTTATCCTAGCATTTCTGATGGATTGTTAGAGGAATGTGTGTTAAAAAAAAATGTCCTATGAAAGATACTTTTTTGCAGTTTTTTCAGGCTGTTATCATACTAAAATTATTTCTGATAAAAGCAAGAATCTTGTTTTCGGTAAAGCCAAAATCACAGCGTCAGCTAGTTCAGAATTCTGATTAGAAGTTTACTTCCCAATAATGGTTTACACAATCGTGGAAAGTGTTGAAGTAATCACCCTATTTTCACAAAATAATGAGTGGAGCAACCATACAGCAAATTTATTCAGTGAATAACATCCGGATAAGCATGTGAATAGAAAATACGTTTTGAAGTTAGTGGAAAAGTTCCAAAAAACCGGATCATTGTAGGGATGTGCGATACATTGAAAAGTACAAATAGCGCGTATCGTATTATATCGATTAAAAGATAACGTTACGGTACAATATCAGAAGGAATAGTACAGGTACAAGAAGGTTCACATCCTATCCATTTATTGAAAGTTTTTAAAATTGTCTTTACTCCATTTTATACCATATCGTACTGTAAACAGTAATACCGATGCAAACTATGGTGGATCGAAAGAAAAGTTCCGTTACCAAAAATATCGCACCGTATTGCGCATCTCTAGATCAGCGGCTAACAAGAAACGGGAACTGAATTGAACTTTTGGTAAGGAATGAAGCTGTTGAGGTTGCAATTTTTGAACAATTGCTGCTGAACACAAGGAAATTGGCTACTGTTATTAACACCGGTATAACGGCTTTTGATAAAAAATTATTTAGAATTTCTAATATACATACAAATAACAAGTAAAGTATAGAGTACTAAAGTTTAATTATAAAACATAAAATAACTCAGAATGTCCTACAATGATTTAATATATTTATTAATAGATCTTTTAAATTGGCTTAAATTATTAACATTTTACAGATGTAGGTAATACGTTATACTCATTTAAACCCTTATAGAATAGAGATTTTCTAGTGTTAGAAATAATCTAGTCAAATGAAAGTTACTAATAGTCCTGGTATTATGATCATGTACTTCTGAATTATATACAATGAATTCATTAAAATAAGAAGGCAAGAGATTATTTAATAACTTGAAAATGAATATCATTGCCATATAATAGAATCTTTTTGATACACATGTCCATTGTAACATGTCAATCATTAAAGTGATACTAGTATATCGATTACATTTAAGTATAATTCTCATCCCACGATTTTGTAGTTTTTTGTAGAGAAGCTATTTTATTCTGGTCAAATGAGTACAATAACGTAGCACAATAATCAAGTGTGGTTGAATAATACTATTATATACAGTAATCTTAGACTCAACTGATAGGTTTTGCGCAATTCGACTGAAAAAATACATTTTTTTTGTTATTTTTTTTATAAACATAATCAAAATGAGCATTGAATGATAGAAAGTTATCTAACATAAATCCTAAGTATTTAAATTCGGATGTAAACCCTATCTTACTATTATCGATAAAGAAATTTACTTGAGCAATATCTATTAAATGGTATTTGTGGGACGTTGTGAGAATCATTGCTTTGGTTTTCAGTATATTTAGTTTTAGTTTATTCATATTGAGATAATTAAAAATGGAAGCTAAAGAATGATTCATCTTATTAATGGCTTCATGTAGATCAGAACTTGAAGTAGATAATAATGTGTAGTCGGCAAATAAATTAATGAAGTCACACTCATGATATGAGTTGATATCATTAATATAAATTAGGAATAGAAGTGGCCCCAGGACACTGCCCTGTGGAACACCAAAATCATTAGATATTTCCAATGAATACACATTATTTATTTTTAGTAATTTGTTTTCGTTCATTTAAGTATTCTTTAAACCATTTTAGAACTATATCCCTGATACCATACTTTTCCAATTTTTTTTATTAATATTTCCCGATCAATGGTCTCAAAAGCACGTTTAAGATCTAAAAACACAGCTATTACATATTGGCCATTATCAATGTTTTGTTTCCATTTATTTACAGTAAGCTGTAAAGATGCTTCACATGAGTGGTTGGGATGAAATCCTGACTGATTTGTAATTAATATATTATTATTATTTAAATATTCAGATAATTGTTGATAAACTACTATTTCTAATATTTTCTCCATTTCAGGTAAAGTATTAATGGGTCTGTATTCCCATGAGTTAATTGTGTTATTAACCTTTTGTATAGGTACCAGCACACTAGTTTTTTTAATTCCCTAGGGAATTGCCCGTACTCAACGAAATGTTAATAAAATGTAATAGCACATGTCCAATAATACCAAAAGTGCTTTTTAAAAGTTTTCCATTTAATACTTCCATTGGAGAGAATTTATTGTCTAGTTCATTGATTATTTTCGATAGTTCACACAGGTTAATTATTCGAATTTAAGTAAAACTTGAGGGCACATTAATAAGTGAAATCCAGTCCTGCTCAGTTGCAATATTAGATATTATTTGCTTAATACTATCGATAAAGTAATGATTAAATTCTTCTGCAATATTCTTAAAATTTAGTACTAATTTTATAGAATTATCATTAGATTCAAATTTTATTCCATTTACAAAATTATTGTTTAATAACTTAGTATTGGTAAGACTTTTTTAGAGTTTTCCACATCAAATATGGGTTATTTTTATTAAGGTCAATCTTTTGAAAATAGAATTGCTCTTTTTTTGTTTTTAACAGATTAACTACAATATTTCTTTTTACTTTGTAATTTTCCCAGTTCGTTGGGTTATTGTTCTTATTATATCCTGATATGCTAAATCTCTTTCTTTAGCTTACATTTTATTTCATAATCATACCATGGCACACTATCAGAGTTTAATTCATATTCCTTAACAGAGCCACACTATCAATAATGTTTCTAAATTTGTTTGCAAAATCGTTATAAAAAACATCTATATTATACGAGTTTAATAAAAAGTTGCAGTTTATAAGTTCTAAATTAATATTATTTATATTTAATTCACATAAATTTCTAAATACTTTGATTGTCTTTGTTGATTTGGGTTTATCCTCACGAATATTAATTAATATGATTGAATGGTCAGTAATTTTAGGGATGTCATGAACTTCCGTCTTGATGCTGAAGTTGCTAAGAACATAATCAACTAATGTAGAGCTCATATTATTACATCGGGTAAATTACCGAATACTGAAATAAAATTTCAACTTTATAAAAAGTATTTAGTATATGAATTGAATGAGGAAGATTTTGATCGGCGATAGGAGTTATGTGAAGTTATGATTGCATGAATAGCTGCTGATAGGAATTTTCTTTTTAATATCTGTTTTTCTGATGAGTGTATGTTTTCGTTAAACTCAACTGTAAATCGACAAAACTGGCGCTGTTGGTCGGATGCTATTCCACGAAGACCACACTCAAACTGCTCAAAAAATGTTATATCTGGGTTGGAATTTTTATAGCCCGCCTAGTTAGACCTAGGTTTTTGATGGTAATCTGACAGGTGAAACATATTTGGAATTACTCATTACTTAATCATTCATATTATTAAAAATGACGATCGTTACATGGAAGACCAATTGATGTACCAGCAAAACGGAGCCCTCCACATTATGCATGGGAGTTTTTCGACAGGATGTTTCCTGGAC